CACAATTTTTAAGTAATTGGATGTTTACATGCAACACAACTTTTATAGAAATAACATGTTAAGGCCATCATGTGATATTAGTCGGAGATATTTTTTAAGGTAGCTTACAGAAGCTTTGACAAAGTTACCGTATAAATGATTGTACTCTATTTTACCTCTGACTAAATGATGCTTTAATCATTGACCGTTACTAATCAAGTGCCAAAATGAAGATCTCATTCCCACATTTGGACTTCATGACTGGTTCTCTTGATGAAGCCAGCAGATAGACTGTACCGACGTGGCAACATGCCACAGCATGTCCTGTACCTGCAGCTGCAGCCTGGTCTTAAGTCACTGGCTCGGATGCTGAGTCTGTTCTTTCTGAACGCTTTCGAGGGCGGATCCCGTCTGAGATGGGCCATTATGTCAGAGGTGCCCCAAGAATAGTTCCAGTGTGCCGTGCTCGGCACCGAGGCGAGTGTGACGTCCAGAACTTAACTGTCTTTGGGCCAAACCCAGGAGAAACAGTGGCCCTACTGTTTCCTCACGTTAGGCACACCCCGGCCATGCACACACACACACACACACAAACACATACAGACGCAAACACACACATGGAACCAATTTAGGCTTTCCTCTGCCACTGTTCAAAACGCTCCCAGGATAAACACTTGAAGCATATCCGAGCCAACAAGGCCAGCGATTGCCGTTAGAACTGGGCTGTGACGCAATGTAACGGTAATGAAACCTAGTGGGTTTCAGGTGTCGCCTCAAAATCATTGCTCAAATAAAGAAATGTGAAAGCTTCAGCCAGAATTATAATAGTGTTTGCTTTTGAGAAATTATATTTTCTCTTGTGGTAACATAAATTATCCATGGCTTGAGAAATGTCTGTGTGACATCTAAATGGTTCATGAACGTCCAGGCTAAAATGGAAGTTTGTAGACGTCTAAATGTAGTTGTAGACGTTAAATAGATGTCTGTCTTTAGCTGAGATAAAGGTGGTACAGTAGTTAGAGCTGTTGCCTTAGTAAAAAGGTTGCAGGATCACATCCTGGCCTGGAGCTTTTCTGGTTAAGAGTTTGCATGATCTCCTCTTGCACGTGTGGGTTTTCTCTGGATACTCTGGTTCCCTCCCACAGACCAAAAACATGTATGTTAGATTAAGTGGTAAATTGTCCCTGTGATTGTTAATGAAATGGTATGTTTTATGTTTTCTTTGGTCTGTAACTACCACCTAGCACCCCTGCTACACTCTGCCCCATCTACACACCCTATCAGGATATATCTGGATTGAAACCAATCTGAAAAACTTCCTTCAGGATGAACTCAATCATGATGCTGCTCGACTTATACAACCCCTGGCAAAAAGTATGGAATCACCATTCTTGGATGAGCACTCATTCAGACATTTCATTCTGTAAAACAAACTCAGATCAAAAACATGAT